GAAGGATCCCCTGAAGCTCCCCAGTGTGCTTTGCAGGTGGCAGTGTGGGGTAGCAGGAAGAACACCGCAGGGGCCATGTTCCGGAGGGAACAGCTCTGCATTCACACAGGGACCCAGAATCCCAGCCCTGCCGCTTCCCAGTTGTGTCTTCACCTGTAAATGGGCAATTCCACCCCAGGGTGACAGATAAGCCCATGAGGGGCCCTATGGGAAGCTATCCCAGGGATAGCTTTCACCCCCTCCCTTGAGGGGTCCTCAACTCAGAAATGCGACGGCCCATTCATACAAACAGACTGATTCTGAGTTATTAGATCCAGGCCACCATATCTGCCTGCCGCTGGGAAGCATTAGGACGACTTCCTCCCCACCCACCCCCATGAGTGATTTTCCTCATTGTTCCTTTTCAGATCAGCAGGCTCCAGAGCCCTCTAAAGAACATCGGTAAACAGTCCAGCAGAGACAGATGGCTGAGCCAGCGCGGATTCCTCTTTCCACACCAGAGGAAACTGCTGGGCAAAGAGTGTCAAGGTGCCCAGGGCTAAAAGCCTGGGCTGTTAAAACAAGCAGGAATTCTAAAACCTCACAGTATCCAAACCAGTAGACTGTACAACGCCAAGAGTGAACCCAAATGTAAACTCTGGACTTGGAGTAATAAGTAGGCACCAATGCAGGTTTGTGCACTGTAAACGTGCCTCTCCAGTGGGAGTTGTTAACTGGAGACACTGTGCCGGTGTGTTGGGGGGTGGGGAGGGAGTGTATGGGAAATTTCTATTTCCCCCACTCAATTTTGCTGTGAACCTAATAGTGCTCTAAAAAAAAAAAATTGTCTTAAAAATGAAAAATTGTCTGAGGGAAAATACATAATCTCTTTTAAAAGATGTTTAAATGACCTTGGTTATTAAAAACGTCTAAGAGGCCCAGCGAGGTGGCTCATCCCTGTAATCCCAGCTACTCAGGAGGCTGAAGCTGGAGGAATACTTGAGCTCAGGAGTTTGAGACCAGTCTGGGCAACACAACACAACAAGCCACTGTTTTTACAAAAAAATTTAAAAATTAGCCCAGTATAGTGGTTTAAACCTTCAGTCCCAGCTACAGAGGAGGCTGAGGCGGGAGCTCCTCAAACAAGAGTTTGAGGTTGCAGAGAGGTATGATCATACTCCTGCACTCCAGCCTCGATGGCAGAATCAGACACTATCTCTTAAAAACAAAAAACAAGCAAAAAGCAGTTTAGGGGGAAAAAATAAAACCTAATGGGAAAGAGACTGTGGGACCTTGAGGACATTCAGAGAAGTATCAAGAAAGACCTGAAAGTGGGTCCAAGTGGTAAAATTAACTCCTCAGCCATTTCCTGAGGACCTGCCCTGTGTGACTCGAGGCACTGGGCTTTCCATCCTTCTATAATAATTCCTATTTTCATCTACTGACTTGCATTCAGGGTCTGGTGATGTGGTGGGCAACAGGGCCACGTCTACAGAAGCTATAGGAAAGGCTGGGCCCATGGTTCTGGAAACCCAGAATTTTCCACCAGCAAAGATTATCATTTCAATTTGCACATCTCCCTAAAAATCTCTCATTTTCTTTTTTATTAATAACTCTCCTACACCACATCACTGAGGGCCAGTTCAAGCTGGCTCGCCTGGCCAACAGCTGGCCAGACGAGGCTGGTGCCCGGTAACCACAAGGCAATCCTCCAGACTCGAACGAGCTGATGTGCCTGCAAAGCAGGCTTCTGAATAGCAGAGCATCCACCCCGCCCCCACACGGGGACTTAGGGAAGGCAGCCGGGCCAACTTGCAGGTCGGAGCCCTGCACCACAGCCAACCCCAGCTGCAAATGGAAGATCAGCAACTGGAAGTACCTAACACAAACAGGACAGAGTGCCCAACGCAAAAAGGCAGCTCCAAGGAGCCAGAAATAGCCTCACTTGTTTCAAGAGGATTCTGACAAACCAAGCACATCCAACTCTTCCATCAGCAGAAAAAGAAAAATCAATGGAGCAGAAAACCAGATCAGCTTAACAGAGACCAGGTCTCCAAGAGATTCCCCACAGCCTGACACACACACCCCAGTCCCCCACTCTTTCCTTACCCCAACCAACGGCAAACTGTGCCTGGATCTCAAAACACAGTGACCAAAACGCCTGATGTTATTTGCATATAGAACAGAAGTTATGTGCACAATCCCATAGTTCTAAGGTTAGGGCTAGAGTCTGACCACAGATTGGGAGCCCCAAATAAGCACCTGTGGATGCTTATCCTTGGGAAGATGAAGCAGCAGGAGCACACTGGAGGGTCAGGAAATGGGGCTGGGTTACCACGCACGGAGGAGCCTGGGGCTGACTAATGATGAGTGAAGTCTCCCATCAAAGCCTGGCAGATCAGAACAGGTGTGGCTCAGCTTCAGCCCCAGATGAAATCTCTATGCAGTTGATTTTCCGTGGCCCACTGAGTCACAACTCCCTGGCTCCTCACCTCCTCCTAATTCCTAGTCTCACCTGCTGTGACTTGCATTCAGGGCTGCTGGCTAGCAAGCAAACCTGATGCTTCTACGGCCTGGGAGCAGCTAGCATATCTCGGGTTTCACAAATGTGTCATATAACCCTTCCAGGACAGGATCAGTGGGGTGGCGGGGAATGCCCAAGACGCAAATCAGTCCCTGCTAACAGCATCCGATCCTGGCGCTAGAGATGACTGTGGCTTTTATACCATCCTCACTTCTCTGAGAGGAGAGGGCATAGAGCAAGGAGTTACCGCCTGGGGCATCTTCCTTCAACTCACAAGCTGTACTTCACCAACACAGTGCTCTAGAACCAAAGGAAGAAACCACCTCCCATCCCTCACAGGACCACCCTCAACCCAATCCCATTCCAAACACTGACAATATGCATTCTGGAAGGAGGGGATGGAGTTTGTTCGGGCACAGGATCAGCGTGAACCACAAGCGCATCTGCAAATCACTTAAAAGTATCCATTCCTCCCTCCCAACTTGTTTTATATCCCCTACTCGTCTATGGCTTTTCTCCCCGGTGCAGGTGTGCCCACGCACGTGGCGTGAAGAACTCACCGGCGTCTCCATGGAAGGTGCCCTCCCCATCGTTGGGCCAGATCTGCCCGGTCTTGCGGACGCCCACTATGGTGGCCTCGGACACGACAACCGGGCAGTGCCGGTGCCGCTTATGGCACTGCGGCGTGGGGGGGCTGCTGCTGTCGAAGGACTGCTGCGAGTTCTGCGACGGAGAGCGGCTCTTGTCCCGAAACATGCGGTAGGTGGTGGGGCTTGGGGACACGCGGCTGGACTGGCCGGAGGAGAAGTCCTCCTCGCTGGAGGTGAGGTTCTCGTTGGAGCTGCAGTCTGGGGTGTAGCCGCCTCCACAGTCCTCAAAGCTCCGGGGGGAGTAGGACCTGCGGGGCCAGGTGAGGCGCTTCTCCTGCTCCGAGGTGCTCTGGCTGCGCAGGAGCGGGCCCTTGCCCTCCCCTTCCATCATGCCCCCGACATAGATGCTCTGGTAGGGCTGGTACTCCAGGGGCGGCCAAGGGGGCCTGCCACCACCATTGGCGTTTATCAGGTTGTCCTTCAGAAAGCGGGGGTTCAACTCGGCGTCCTCGTAGTCGCCGTCGAGGCCGCAGCTGCTCTCCGAGAAGCGTCCGCGGTAAGGGGGCCTGGATGCATCCCCCACACTGGAGCCCGCGCTGTGCTGGGACTTTTTGCGCTCCATCTGCATGGCCTGGCTGCCCAGGGAGCTGATGCGGTCCGACACCTCTTTGTCGTTGACCTTCACCAGGCCGCGCTCATGGTGAAACTCGACGTTCACGTAGAAAGGCTTCTCAGCGTCCCCGCCGGGCTGGCCATGACCCTTGCGGATCCGCTCGAAGTTGGACCTGAGCGCCGCCACGCTGGCTGGGGGCCCCCGGTCGTCCCGGTCCCCCGACGCGGAGGTCCCGGACCTTCGGGCGGCCCCGGGCCTGGCCTTGCCAGGAGAACCTTCTCCGTCCGGCTGGGCCTCCAGCTCCTCGGCGGGCGGCGGGTCGGCTCCGTCGGCGGGCGCGGGCTGCGGGCGCGGTGCGGGCGCGCGGGGCTCGGGAGCGCCGTCGGGGGTCTGCGCCAGGCGCCGGAAGCCCCAGCGCTGCCGGTCATAGCTCTTCTTCTCCTTGGCCAGCAGCGTCTGCAGGTAGATCATACGGAAGCGCTCCTGGTTCACCTCCTGCTCCAGGCGCCGGATGGAGGCCTTGCAGCGCTCCAGCTCCTGCTCGATGTCACCCACTGAGCGCAGCTCCATGCGCGGCGGCTCGGAGTCCGGGAACTGCGCCTTCCACGCCTCCGCGAAGCCCACCGGGTCCACCATGGCGCGGCCGGCCTCACCTGCGCCGCCGCGCTGCGCGCCGGGCCCGTCTCAGCGGCGGCGCGGCGGGCTCGCCAGACCCGGCCCCGGGCGCCGGGCGGCCCCCATGGCCCCGCGCGGCGGCGGCGGCGAACAATGCCCGCCCCCTCCCCGGTGGCAGGTGAGGCGGCGCGGGGTGCAGGGCGCGCGGGCGCGGGGCGGGGCGCGCGGGGGGGAAGGGCGCGGACTGCGCACGCCGCTATTGTGTGCGGGGCTCCTCCGCGTGACGAGGCGCGGGCGCTACCCTCCGCTCCGCCCGGCCGCCACTAGACCCTGGTCGTGGCCCGCGCGTTCCTCGCCTCTCGCTCCCGCGCCGTCCCGCAGCCACGCCGCCGCCGCCGCCGCCGCCGTCGCCTCCCAGGGCTCTGCGCTCGGCCCGCCGGCTATCGCCGCACTCCCGCCCGACCCGCACTCTGCGCCGCAGGAAGGGGAGGGCCGGGGGGCGGTGGCCGAGGCGCGGCTGACGGAGCCGGGCGGGCCTCTTAAAGGGGCCGCGCCGTGGGCACCAGCTGGAGGCACCCGGAGGCGGCTTCCCCATCAAGCCGCCACCCTCCCTCCCATCCCTGTGCCTTTTGGGAAACTGAAGCCCTAACAACGGCGAATTGGACTGTCCAAGTCGCAGCCCAGAGGTCCCCATAAACAGGACACCGGACTCCCTGGTCCAGAGGGACCTTTCCAACAAAGAGGGCCGGGTCAGTTCTGCAGTCCTGGAACGGGAACATGTGGCTCCCCTCGAGGGAGGAGGACTTCTCCTATGGCCAGTCCAGCCGCGTGTCCCCAAGCCCCACCACCTACTGCATGTTCCGGGACAAAAGCCACTCTCCCTGGCAGAACTCGCAGCAGTCCTCCGACAGCAGTAAGCCATCCCCTGCCCCCACGCCACAGTGCCATAAGCGGCACTGGCACTGCCCGGTTGTCATGTCCGAGGCCACCATTGTGGGTGTCCGCAAGGCCGGGCAGATCTGGCCCAACGATGGGAGGGCACCTTCCATAGAGAAGCAAGTGAGTTCCTCGAACCTCACAGCCCTGCCTTTAACCAGCCTCAAGGCTGGGCACTCTAGGGACCACCCATCAGGGCCCAACTCACAGAAGGGCCAGGACTAAGCAGGTCACCCAGCGATGCAGGGAGGGCCGGGCTGGGTCACCAATGCCAGCACCCCTGTTTCAGCAGGCCTCCCACATGGTAGACCTGCTGTGGGTGACTGCCACACAGGGTTGTCACAGCAGGACCACATGATGAATGATAAATAGGAATTTCTCCCTCAGGTCACTCAATACCCACACCTGCCTTCCTGTGTGCTGAGCCATACATTTGTTCCCTGGCCTCTCCTGAGCTCCAGAGGTCAGTGTAGTTTTTCCACCCTGGACATGACTCAGAACTTCCCTAATTAGCCTCCCTCTAAGGGGCCGCCAGCCCAGAGCAGGAGTGAAACAAAATCTTTGATGGTTCTCTAGGGACAGAGAGATCCGAGACACAGCAGAGAGTGCTCTGCAGGGAATCTGACGGGCACAACATGAAAATACCCAAACCAACCTTCTGGGTTAGGGGAAAAGGAAACAGGATTTGGGAAATGAATTACTGGGCTTGAGTCCTGACCGCCTCTCTCTGCCTCAGTTTGAAGTGAGAAGAACATCCACCTCCAAGGGCTGTTGTCCCTGTGTAGATGTGAGGGATTATCATTCCCTCTTCCAAGCGCCAGTGTCATCCGGAGCAGATGCTTTGACTTCCAATCTAAAGTACAAAGCCCAGGCTAGTAGCTAGGCTAGCCCTGCATAGGTTCAGGTCTCCCCGCCGACTGTGTGACCTCAGCAATGTCCGTCCCCTCTCCGAGTCTCAGTTTTGTCATCTGCTCTTCATTTGCCAAATCCTGCCTCCTTTTCCCCTAACCCGGCAGGCTGGTTTGGGTATTTTCATTTTGTGCTCATCAGACTCCCTGCACTCTGCCCTGTCTCAGATCTGTGGGCTTCCCTAGGAAACCAAAACCGATTTTGTTTCACTCCCTGCTCTGGGCTATCCCGTCTTCCCCCTAGCCCTGTGGGCCACGGTACAAAATGTTGAGAACATCGTGCGTGAAATGCCCAGATGTGGCAAACATAAAACACACCGTGATAAATGATGTGTAGGGATCATTTCGTGATTGCCTTTTAATATTGGTGTCCTGGAGAACATTCGTGCTGCTGGGAAAACCCCTGAGACCCAGTTTCTAGTTAGGGTGGGCAGTGCGCAGCTCACTGCTGCCCTCTGCAGGCTCTGATAACCTCCTGCCATTCTGGTCCCTTGGACCCAGCTGATCTCAACCCCTTCTTGTCAGGCTTCAAATAGCCCATTTTGCAGGTGAAGAAACTGAGATGCAAGTGATGCCGTGGCTTTGGGGTAATGGGTAATAAAAGGGCTGGAATCCCAGCAGTACCACACTGAGCAGTGCTCTCATCCTCAGTGGCCTCTTTTTTTTTATTTTTAGACGAAGTTTCACTCTTTTTGCCCAGGCCGGAGTGCAGTGGTGTGATCTTGGCTCACTGCAACCTCTGCCTCCCAGGTTCAAGCGATTCTCCTGCCTCAGCCTCCTGAGTAGCTGGGATGATAGGCATGTACCACCACACTTGGCTAATTTTGTATTTTTAATAGAGACAGAGTTTCTCCATGTTGGTCAGGCTGGTCTTGAACGCCTGACCTCAGGAGATCAGCCCACCTTTGCCTCCCAAAGTGCAGAAATTACAGGTGTGAGCCACCACACTCAGCTGTGGCCTATTCTTTAAAGTGGCTATGATAAAGGCCAGGCACAGTGGCCCACACCTATAATCCTGGTGCTTTGGGAGGTTGAGTCAGGAGGATCACTTGACCCCAGAGGTTCAAGACCAGCCTGGGCAACATAGCAAGACTCCATCTCTACAAAAAATTTAAAAATTAGCCTGGCATGGTGACACGTGCCTGTAATCCTGCCTACTCAGGAGGCTGGGGTGGGAGGATTGCACTGAGCCTAGGAATTTGAGACTTCATTGAGCTAGGATCATGCCACTGCCCTCCAGCCAGGGTAACAGGTCAAGACCCTTTCTCTAAATAAACTCTGAACTCTGAAGCTGTTTAGTTTAAGTTTGCATACTCTGTTCTCTTGGCATAGCAAATGGCTTTTTGTTTGGCACAAAGACACATCCAGATAGTGGCTTTCTCCCTTGTGGAGCAGCCTCTTCTGGCCCCAAGGACACTGCTCTATCCTCAGGACTTCCCTGAAAGCACACTTATCTTGGGCCTCTGGGCCTTTCCTGCAGAGTTTTGTCATCCATCCCTCCCTAGGGAGGAGTGCAGCGTGGCATGGGCATGAGATTCAGACACACGTAACACTCTGTAATCTCCCACTCAGTGTCTGTCCCAACTAGATCTAAACTCTGCAAGGTCAGAGACCTGTTTATCTTGTTCCCCTATGTCCCCCATATAGTGAGCTCATGGTAAGTGCTCAGCCAGGACTGGTGGAATGAGGAACTGGATGTGCGTGTGGCCTGCAGGGCAGACAGGCCACGAGTGGTGCGTGTGTATAGGGGAGGAAATGATAAGGCATTCCCAGCCCAGCCATAGCAGAGGTGTGTGTGCCCTGTGGGAGAAGGCACTGTCTTGGCAAAGGCTTGCCAGGGGAGGTGATGCCTGAGCTGGTCCTAAGGACAAGGACAAGGTGGACAGAGGACAAGGAGGCTTCAAAGTTGTGTTTGAGGAACAGCCAGGTTGGGAGATGAGGCCGATGTGGGCAGTAGGAAGTGGGGTCAGAGGTAAGGCAGGGCCTTGTAGGCCTGTACACAATTTGGGGTTTATTCTAAATGCAAGGAAAAGCTGCTCAAAGGTTCTAAACCTACACTGTCCGATAGAACTTTCCAGCACCATGGGTATGATCTGTAATCTGTGCTGCACAATACAGCAGCCATGAGCTGCCCCATGTGATTACTGAGCATCTAAAATGGGGTTGGGGCAGCTGAATAACTGAATGTTTGGTTTCATTTTAGTGAGTTTCAATTCCCACAGTGGCAGCTGTATTAGACCGCACAGCGGCAGTGGGTTACTTGCTGCGGTCTATTGCGTGGAAGGTTGGTCATGGGAAGTGGGAGCAGGGGTATGATTGGGGACTGTGGCAATAGTTTATGAGGAGGGCAGAAGCAAGGTGGCCCAGAGAAGGGGTTGGATTTCAGGACCATTCTGGAAGGAAAATTCACAGGACTTGTAGATGGAGTGGGTGTAGGGAATGAGGGAGGGCCAGCTATGGGGCTGACTTTGGGATGCTGACTGCAATCGGCAAGCAGAGGAGCCTGCGTAGGGCCTGGATGATGGACTCTGTCCCAAGAAAACAAAAAAACAAACAAACAAAAACCCCACTATCTTTTGTAATTAAAAGGAAAGATTTTTTTTTTACAACTTTATTGAGGTATAATTGAAGTGTCACATACTGCAAATAAGGAGTGCGTAATGAGTTTTGACATCTGTGTATACTTTTAAATCCATCACTACAATTAGATAACAAGCATTTCCATCATCCTCAATCCATGTTACGTTTTTAAATCTCAAAACTACAATAATACAGAGAAGTAGGGTTTTTGGTGATGTCCCCCAGTTTTCCTCGTTCTTTGAGTGTGGTTACATGATTCTGTTATTTATTCATTTACTTATATGTTTTTTGAGATGGGGGTCATGCTCTGTTACCCATGCTGGAGTATGTTGCAATCTTAGCTCACTGTAGCCTCCAACTCCTGGCTCAAGGGATCCTCCTACCTTGGCTTCCTGAAGTGCTGGGATTACAGGCAAGAGCCACCACGCCCAGCCAAGAAGTAATTTTAAAATCAAAACAAAACACACACACATCTTCACACACCCTCAGCAGCAACTGAGGCCACCCTTTCCCTTTACTGGAAGGACAGGATGGGACACAACAGCCCCCTCTGCTGGAGAGAATGCAGAACTTCTGATGCCTCAAAGCCCTGGGGGTGGAAAGAATGCAAGTGTCACTCAACAGATAAAAGAATAGAGGCTGGCACAGTGGCTCATACCTGTAATCCCAGCACTTTGGAGGGCTGAGGCAGCTGGATTATTTGAGGTCAAGAGTTTGAGACCAGCCTGACCAACATGTTGAACCCTGTCTCTACAAAAAAATTAGCCTGATGTGATGCATGAGTGTAGTCCCAGCTACTCAGGAGGCTGAGGCAGGAGAATCGCTTGAACCCAGGAGGCAGAGGTTGCAGTGAACTGAGATTGCACCACTGCACTCCAGCCTGGGTGACAGCGTGAGACTCCATCTCAAAAATAAAAAAAGAAGGAGGAGGAGGAGAAGTTTGAGAGCAGTCTGGGCAACATAGTGAGACCCCCATCTCTAAAAAAATAAATTAAAAAAAAAAATTTATACCTGGGCATTGTGGCATGTATCTGTAGTCCCAGCTACTCTGGAGGCTGAGGTGGGAAGATTGCTTGAGCCTAGGAGAAAGTGCAATAGATTAAAACTCCTGTGCCGATTGGTAGTGGGATTGTGCCTGTGAATAGCCACTGCACGCCAGCCTGGGCAACATAGCCAGACCCCATCTCTGAGGGGGAATGCATATATATGAAATTCTAACCCTCAATGCACCTAGGAGGTGATTAAGTCTTGGATGGAGCCCTCATGAATGGATTAGTGGCCTTATAAAAGGATCTCTAAAGAGCTCTCTCAAATTCTTTTTCTATGTGAGGAGACAGTGAAAATTCTACAGTTTGTGACCTGGAAGCTCTCACCAGAACCCAATCATGCTGGTACCCTTACCTTGAACTTCCAGCCTCTGGGACTGTTGTGTGTAAAATTTTTCTTTCTGGTGCCACAAAGAAAAATTAGTTATGGGACAAAGGATCTCTCAGCAAAGTAATTCTTTTTACATCTAGCAGAAAGGGTACCCCATTAGCAATCTTGCCACAAGAGTACAAAGAACTAAAGAAAGCGGACATATTTATTTCTTACGCATTTGGTGTTGTCCTTACTGCTGTGTCTGATCTCCATTGGCTGGAGTCAGACCTCACTGTCTAAACTAAAACCCAATTGGCTAATAACTTGAAACTTTTCTAAACAGGTTAAAGCAATGGAGAACAAAAAGAAGTTGAAATAAGGAAGGGGCATAGGCTGTGAGCTGGGACATGCCTGTGAGCACGTCCAGCACAGATATCTTGGTTAAAGTACAAGGACATAGAATGTACTACATGCCTGCAAGGATGTCTAACAGCTACACAGGACGGGGCTTCTAGCAAAAAACAAGAAGGCTTTTGAAGAAAGTGTTTAAAACAAACCATTATTTATTTATTTAGGAGACAGTCTTGCTCTGTCACTCAGGCTGGAGTGCAATGGCATGATCTTGGCTCTCTGCAACCTCTACCTCCCTGGTTCAAGCAACTCACCTGCCTCAGTCTCCCCAGTAGCTGAGATTACAAGTGCATACCACCAGATCCAGCTAATTTTTTGTATTTTTAGTAGACATGGGGTTTCACCATGTCGGTCAGACTGGTCTTGAACTCCTGATGTCAGATGATCCGCCCACCTTGGCCTCCCAAAGTGCTGGGATTACAGGCATGAGCCATTGTACCTGGACACAGACTATTATGTCTAACACTTACGAATTTGTCTTAGACAAGAAAGGAAACTTTGAAGAGGAACTCTTCTACTTCCCACAGGGACTGTGAGAAATACATTTCTGTTGTTTTAAGAATCACCTAGACGATGGCAGACCACACTAAGACAATGTACTTGTTTGAGTCTGTTTTTAGTTCTTTGGAGAATATACCTAGGGACGAAATTTCCAGATCATGTCATGTAGCAATTCTATGTTTCACTTTTCGGGGAACTGCACAGGTGACTTTTTTTATTTTCGCTTTTTTTTTTTCTTTAAGACAGGGTCTGGCTCAGTCACTCAGCTGGCATTGCAGTGGCACAATCTCAGCTCACTGCAGCTCCAAGCTCCTGGACCCAAGCAATCCTTCCACTTCAGCCCCCCAAGTAGCTAGGACTACAGGTACACACCAACATGCCCAGCTAATTTTTATGTTTTTTTAGAGATGGAGTTTTGCCATGTTGCCCTGTTCTCAAACTCCTGAGCTCAAGCGATCTGCCCACCTCTGCCTCCCAAAGTGCTAGAATTACAGGTGTGCACCACTACACCTGGCTAATGTGCTTGTTTCTAGTTCACCCAAAGGCCCCATGTGGGTGAGTGCAGTGGCTCTGCCCATGAGGGTCACACAGTCTTCAGGAGTCCCATCCACCTAGCCCTCACCAGATGCCCAGCCTGGAACTGAGGTCTCTCAGCATGATTTCTTTCCACTTCCCCAGCCATCACCCCAACAAGAAGCAGGGAAAGGGGCTCAGAGAGTGACCCCCCACCAAGTCACATAGCAATAACTGGGGGCCCAGACTTGAGCCCCACCTCTTGACTCATGATCAGTGCTTTTAACCGTTGTACCATCAGGCAAGACATTGTAAACGGCAGGGCTTCCTGCCCTCAGATCTGCCTAAGCCTGACTTAAAAGCCTGGGTGGGCTTTTATTCTTTCTTGCTCCTTTTCCGCCCTGTTTCCACCCCTGTTCCCACCCACTTGGGAGGCTGGAGGCCAGAGCAGGGCTCCCTTCAAGCAGGATGTTGCCATGTGACCACCATCCAGCATCTATCATCCATCATCTGTCATCTGTCAGCCCTGGGGGCAAGATCAGAAAACTGGGTCATCAATATAGCTGTCCTCTATCCCTCCCCGCATCCAGAGTGGGGAGCAAAGATCTGAGGGCCATCTTTGGTCTGAGGGTCTGTGTGTGTGTGTGTGCCAATAAGCCCTCATGGAACCACTGTCACAGGATCTGAGTGATTGGGGCTGTGGGCCTTTCCTTCCAGGCCTGGGCCCCTCCTCAGGAGCTCCACTGCCTTCT